TTTGGTCATTGTTGGGGGGGGTTCGAGCAGCGGTTTGAAACGTCATTTTTACTTTCCTGAAACGACTCCGGGGTTTTGAGTTTTGGCAGATGATTAGCTTCGTCTCTGCAGGGGACTCGTCATCACTTACCACTGGGGAATGTTAAGAATTGATTTAACTCAGCCCATGAGCATTAGGAAATGACATCCTGGTGACAGCCTCCCCAGCAGTTGGTGTCGCAAATAGTTTAGCTGTGAGCGTAGACGCGTAATTGCTGCCACGGGCTTTCCTGCCCGGGGAAGCGAGGGCATCCCCGAATGAGCTACGGGGGAGCAACACGGGGGTCGGGTGGAAAGGGCTCTGCAGTGCTCATGGGAAACAACCAACCACCACCACCAACAACAAAAAAAACCACCCAACTATGTTTTCTAACTAAAGTTAAATATACAAGGTTCCTCTTCAAACACCAAACTCCCATCTCTTGTTCCCACCTATCACTTCACATACGCTCCAGCTGCTCACTTGAAACAAAAGGTGGAGAAATCAGGCAACTTCTCGCACGCGTGGTGGAAGAAGCGGCCCTTCACGAAGCTTCTGGAGAAGAGCTGTGTTCCTGGGGCGTGTTTTCAGGGCTCGGGCAGGGCCTGCCTCTGGCCCTCAGGACGGGCGATGGTACGCGTGCGTTTTGTTGGCAGTCTCGGCTCTGCCAGCTGCAGTAACAAAGCCACTCTCTTCTTCTCTTTTGCTGAGGGGAAAGGATTTGTGGCTTTGCAGCAGAGAGCACCGCGCCAGCCCGGCCTCTGGCGAGCTCCTTCACAGCCCTTCCCTCCCGGACGTTCTGTCCCTCCCGCCGCTCGCCGCAAACCCAGCCGAGCTCCTGAAATCCCTCTCTGTTTAACGGAGCAGCATCAGCAGAGGCAGGGCTTGCAGTCCACCTCTTTCCCACTTAAAAACTGTGAAGAATCGAGTTTTATACGGCTCCCGGTGCAAGGCACGACCATGACCAGCCCACCAGGGCCTGGGTTGTGAGCAGCCGCCTTTGGGGTCCCTCCCCTGCGAGAACCCTTTCAAGAAACGAAATGAGCCCGTTGCCGAAGAAAACAGCATTGTGATTTTTCCTCTTGCAGGGGCCGTGGTGGCCGTGTGACAGAATGGGCTGAACTTGAGCGGCTTTGGGTTTTTTTTTTCCCTTTTCACATCGTAGCAGCACACTGAGAACCCTGTAAATGTGTTTCCAAGGCTCTGAGGAGCGCGGCCGTTTAAATGCTTGCTACGGGTCAATGTTACTGTGTCTTTTTGGAATTCGCCAGTGCAGCACTACTTCAGCGTGTACGCTCTGGGGGGCTGACAGGGTTTTTAAAATTAAGCTGTGCTATTTTTGCGCTCATCTGTGTGAGCTGCCAATTTTCACGCAAATTATGGATTCTTAAAATAACGAAACATACAAAAGCAATGTTGAGCTTCCTTCAGAGGAGAGCCTTCTTCCCAAAGATGAAGCTTGATTTTAGTGCCTCTTTTAAAGCAGATTACATCCCGTCTTCGCAGCCTAATGCTTTTTGTGTAGCCCGGGATGATTATTTGTGGATCCGCTTAAAACAAGGGATCCGCGCTGCGCTCCGGATGCTTCCGACGCGGATCCCTGGATTTCAACCTCAGATGTCGGAAGTCGCGCTGCTGCCCGCCGGTTGGGCACGACGAGCTCCCAGCGCTCGAGGGCCGACACAACGCAGCCCGCGCGGGGGGATTCCACGTTATCGTTTGCTGCGGCGGG